TTGCCTTCCTCCATGAGTGTAAGCTTCCAGAGGCCTCCCCACAAACAGAAGCCAGTGCTATGCTTCCTGTACAGCCTGCAGAACCATAAGTCTATTAAGCCTTTTTTCTTTATAAATTATCCAGTCTCAAGTACTTTTAACAGCAATGCAAGAATGGACTAATATGCATATCAAACACACTCTAAGACCACAGTGCAATAAAAATAGCTATCAATAACAAGATCTCTCAAAACCGTAACATTAAATGGAAATTAAACAACCTGTTTCTGAATGACTTTCAGGCAAACAAAGAAATTAAAGCAGAAATCTAGAAATTATTTGAAACTAATGAAAACAGAGATAAAACATACCAGAATCTCTGACATAGATGATGCAGTGCTGAGGAAAGTTTATAATGCTAAACACCCTCATCAAAAAGTTAGAAAGATCTCAAATTAACAACCTTACATCACATCTAGAGGCCCTAGAAAAACAAAAGCAAACTAACCCTAAAACTAGCAGAAGAAAGAAATAACCAAAATAAAAGCTTAACTAAATTAAATGGAGATGAGAAAAATGAAAGATTAATGAATCCAGGAGATGGTTCTTTGAAAGACTAAATAAGATTGATAAACTTCTAGCTAGATTAATAAGAAAAAAGAAAATGAGAAGATCCAAATAAACACAATCAGGAATGACAAAGGGGACATTACCACCAACTCCATAGAAATATAAAAAAACACTCTCAGAGGCTTTTAGGAACACCTGTAAGTACGTGAATTAGAAACACTAGAAGAAATGGAGAGATTCCTAGAAAAATAAATTCTCCCATAATTGAGCCAGGAAGAAATTGAAACTCTGAACAGAATAATAATGAGTTCTGAAATTGAGTAAGTCATAAAAAACCTTCCAACCAGAAAAAGCCCTGAAGCAGATGCATTTACAACTGAATTCTACAAGACATATAAAGAAGAGTTGGCACCAATCCTCCTGAAATTATTCCAAACAATCAAAAAAGAGGGACTTGCTCATAACTTATTCTATGAAGCCAGCATCATTCTCATCCAAAACCAGGCAGAGACACACACAAAAAAGAAAACTTTATGTCAATATCCCTGATGAACATAGATGCAAAAGTCCTCCATAAAATACTAACAAAGTGAATATAGTAGCACATCAAAAAACTAATCCACCATGATCAAGTAGGCTTTATTCTTGGGATGCAAGGTTGGTTCAACATAAACAAATCAATAAATGTAATTCTTCACATAAACAGAAATAAAAACATAACCCATATGATCATTTCAATAGACTCATAAAAAGCATTAGATAAAATTCATTACCCTTTCATTTTAAAAACACTTAACAAACTAGGTATCAAAGGTACATACCTCAAAATAATAAGAGTAATCTCTGACAGACCCTCATAATGAATGGGCAAAAACTGGAAGTATTCTCCTTGAGAACCAGAACAAGACAAGGATATTTACTCTTGTCACTCCTATTCAACATAGTATTGGAAGTCATAGTCAGAGCAAGCAGACAAAAGAAATATAAGGTATCCAAATAGGAAGAGAGGTAGTCAAACTATCTTTCTTCTCAGATTGTATGATTCTATACTTAGAAAACCCCATAGTCTCTGCCCAAAGACTTATAGATATGATAAACAACTTCAGTAAATTTTGTTTGAGTTAGTTTCAGAATACAAACTCAATGTATAAATCTCAGTAGCATTTCTATACACCAATAACATCCAATCTGAGAGCCAAATCAAGGATGCAATTACATTCACAGTCGCCACAAAACGAATATAATACTGAGAAATACAGCTAACCAAGGAGGTAAAATATCTCTACAATGAAAATTACAAAACACTGCTGAAAGAACTCAGCGGCTACACAAACAAATAGAAAAATATTCCATGCTCATAGGTAGAAAGAATCAATATTGTTAAAATGGTCATATGGCCCAGAGCAATTCACAGAATTGATGCTATTCCTATAAAACTACTAATGATATTTTTCACAGAATTAGAAAAAAAATTCTGAAATTCATTTGGAACCATAAAGAACCTAAATAACCAAAGCAATTTTAAGCCAAAAGAACAAAGCTGAAGGCGTCACACTGTGTGACTTCAAACTATACTACAAGGCTAAAGTAATCAATACATCATGGTACTGGTACAAAAACAGACATATAGACCAATTGAACAGGTTGGAGAAAGTGGAAATAAAGCCACACACCTGCAACGATCGGATCTTTGACAAAGCTGACAAAAACAAGCAATGAGGAAAGGATTTTCTGGTTGATAAACCGACTTTTTAGTCACTGAATGATAACTGGCTAATAATATGCAGAAGACTGAAACTGGACTTTACTTTTCACCAAGTATAGAAATTAACTCATGATGGATTAAAGACTTAAATGTAAAATCTAAGTCTAAAACTTTAAAAATCCCAGAAGAAAACATAGGAAACACCATTCTGGACATTGGCCTTGGCAAAGACTCCAAAAAATCTCCAAAAGCAACTGCAAAAAATAAAGAAATGAACAAACAAAAAATATTGATAAGTGGGACTTAATTAAACTAAACAGCTTCTGCACACAAAAGAAACTATTGAGTAAACAGACAATCTACAGAATGGGATAAAATATTTAGAAACTATGTATCTAACAAAGGTCTAATATCTAGAATCTATAAGAAACTTAAACAAATCAACAACAACAAAAAATGAACGACCCCATTAAATATGGGAAAGAGGCATGAACAGATACTTCTCAAAAGAAGACATACATGTGGTGAACAATCATATGAAAAACTGCTCAACATTACTAATCATTAGGGAAATGCAAATCAAAACTACAGTAAGGTACCATCTCACACCAATCAGAATGGCTATTGTTAAAAAGTCAAAAAATAACCGATGCTGTTGAGGTTGTCGAGAAAATTGAATGCTTATACTCTGCTGGTAGGAATGTAAATAGTTCAGACCCTGTGGAAAGCATTTTGGTGAAATCTTAATTAACTCAAAATATAGCTACCATTTAACCTAGTAGTCCGATTACTGGCTATATTCCCAAAGGAATACAAATCACTCTACCATAAAGACATATGCATACGTATGTTCGTTGCAGCAATATTAATAATAGCAAAGACATGGAATCAACCTAGAAGCCCATTAGTGGTGGACTGGATAAAGAAAATATCATGCATATGCACCATATAATATTAATACTGTGCAGCTATAGAAAAGAATGATATCATGTCCTTAGTAGCAACATGGTTGGAACTGGAGGCTATCCTGAGCAAATTAATGCAGTAACAGAAGACTACTACTTGTTCTCACTTTTTTAAGTTAGCGCTAAACATCAGCAACACATGGACACAAAGAATGGAAAAATAGACATTATGGTTTACTTGAGGCTAGAGGTTGGGAGGAGAGTGAGGACTGGAAAATTGCCTATTGGGTATTACGCTGATTATCTTGGTGACCAAATTATCTGTATACCCATCCTCCACAACATGCAATTTGCCCACATAACAAACTTGTGCATGTACCCCTTGAACCTTACACAAAAGATGAAAAAAAATAGAGAAATAAAATAAATAAAAATCAAGGAAAAAATTTACAGGCATACCTCACAGACATTGCAGGTTCACTTCCAGATCACCACAGTGAAGCAAATATTTCGATAAATATAAATAAAGATTTATCCAGCCTAAAATGTCAATAGTGCTGAGGTTAAGAAACTCTGGTCCAAAGCATAGTATGTGCTTCATAAGTGTATCCTGAGCTGGAATGAAATTTTATGATTATATGTAAAATAAGAGCAGTTAGTATCAAATGAGAAGTGTGTCCTACGAATCAGGGTTATGGGCTTTATGCATTCATGATACTTGCTTCATGAACGTGTTCTCTAAGCTCGTTTTTCTTATTCCATGATTCTTGATTACCTTTATTAATTAATTTTAGTGGCCATATTTCAGAGATGTCATTTATTATATTCAAATAATCCCATTGAAGGAATTAAAATACTCTATCTGTATAAGAAATGCTACACTATTTCTCTTTATATAATAATTTGTTAATTACATGTCATATTTTTCATAAATTTGAATCATTATATAAATCCATATGATTTATTTATTTTGCTTTTTCCTTCTATATTTTGATGAAGTTTTTAAACAGTATTCCAAATGTTAGAAGAAAGAGGTTTCTAGTACCAACTCTATCTCTAAATTAGAGATGAAATCTTGAACAAATCATGGAATTTTGCAGGTCTAATGTTTTTCCTTCTCTAAAATAACCTTAGAATGTTACGTAGATAATACGTAGCCTCTCTTCCAGTTATTATTCCTTGAACATTTGATGTCCTTTTATTTTACTCTTTATCCTGCCTTCATACCTGCTTTCTTTCTTCAAGGCTTTATTTACATGGCTTCAGTTATTACCTTTATGCTTCACCCACATCTCATGCTTGCGTATCTCATATTCATCACCCAATATAGAAGAGAGCATTGGGTGAACACATTCTGTTGCTGACAAGTAGTACTAGAACTCTTTGCATTGACTATATCCTGCTTCTCATTCAGGGCTGTCTTATAAAATTTCAGTGGGTGCAGTTCTAATTTTACCTCTGAAAATAACAATTCTTAAATTGTTCATTGTGAAAGCCTGGGTTGCCCCATGTGGCATTTTGCTTATTTGTCATTGTGTTCTGATGCTTACTGGGCTCTTAGCACCTGGCTTTTTCTTAAATCTCTGGCTTTTCAATTTTTCCTTAGGCAAGCCTCTTATTCTAGAGCTTTCCTTGTTCATGGTTTTGCCTGCTTTTCTGCCCTAATCAAGTCTGTAATTATACTGATTAGCGTGACTAAAAATTGATGAGCATTACAAGGATACGTTGTATTTATAGAATAATGCATAAAGCATTTTTCTAAGAAAATAGAAATGATAAGCAGAATGGATAAAGCATGCTTGTTTTTGTATTATTTTCTTAGAAATCTTACTTTGTTGCCTGTGGCCTTGGCAGCTCAGAGCTAAACCACAAAGCCACACTGGGTAGCTAGGGCCTTTCCTAGTTGGTCTTAGGACACTGGAATAATTTCATCATTGATTTCCTGACTTCCTCCTGGCTCAGTTTGAACAAAAAATGAATATCAGCTGACCAATTCAAATGTATAGTAGACATTGACTTGGGTTTTCTGAGAAATGTGAAATATATGTGACAATCAGGAGTGTCCCCCTCATTCATAGATCTAGCATGATATTAATGCAAGATATATTATAAAGAAAAATAGTTATTTAGATCTACACTCTGCTTATTTAATCTAGAAGGGCATCTATTTGTGCTTAAGTTCTGAATATATGTGTCATAGGCAGTGAATAGAAAAAAAATTATAAGAATTAGTAACATGCAACACAGTCAGCCAAATACTTATGAATAGCAATCACTAAAGAGGCAAGGAAATTTGCAGACCGATTTTGTAAATGGGTACAACTCAAATATTTTGAAGCCTATCTCAGCCTCTACTTTCATACTTTGCCCAAGACCCTGCTCTTTTCTATGATTCATTATCCTTTTTTTTGTCTCCATTTTCTGTACTTTCACAAACATTAGCAATCAACATTTACCTACTGGAAAACAAAAACAAAGAACGTGAGCTCAAACTTTGTCAGTTTCATTTTAATAAATGTGTACCTGTATCATTTGTTCTCTAAAACTAGCCATTCTCTAAATGTTACTGTCCATCTTAAACCCTTCAATAGATCCCTCCATCTACACAATAAAATGCACCTTCCTTAGGAGCAATGCATGCTTTTTCCATCAACGTCTGATCCCTTTCTCTTTTTCTGTTCACGTCTTCATCCACTCTCTTCCTTGCACTTCATTATCCAGGTTCACTACTTGATTTAGTTCTGGTTACTTGTTTCTCATATCCAAGACTACAATCTTTAACTACTTTTAGCTAGAATTCTCTTTCCTCTTCAGATTAACTGATTTATCTGGCTTCAGGATTCTGCTCAGGACTCACGGCCTCATGGAGATTCTATTTTCCTCTCCCATGAATCAACTAAAATTAACTAGCTATTCTCCTTCTGTCAATTCACCTTCTTACAGCTTTGTTAACATATCCCTTACATGTTGTAACAAGTAGATTTTTGTATCTGTTTTCTCATGAAGGTTTTGACCTCCTTGTGGTCATATGCACCTTTTATTTATCATTTTATTCTGGATAATTTAGGAAATGCCTGCAAAGATAGATATTTAATATGAAATACACTTTCCCCTAACAAACTTTATGTTCACCTATTTTCAGCATTCTGAATGCAGGGCTATTCCTTGGATCTAGTCATCATCCAGAAATTCTCTTCTTTCTAATGCTGAAATTCCCAACTGAAAAAAATCTGTTTTTGTACTTCTCAAAATTGGTCTCTTATTAGGCCAGGTCTTTGCCTTTCTTGCCATCTCTAGTCATTCAAGCCCGCTTTTTAGTATGCTAGCTTAACCAGTACCTCATGGTTTGCCATTTTTAACACAAACGCTATTAATCCCAACCCTACCCTAACAATTCTCTTAACCTATTGATACTAAATCTCCGCCATCTTGCCATCCATCTACTTAGATAAAAAATCTGATATATAATCTCATATAAGTCATAATTATTGCTTGTGGATTTGTTATTCATTTTCATTTTCACATAAACCAAAAATTTCTACTGTTTCAAAATTACATATATTTAACATGTACAGCATGATGTTTTGATACTTATATAGTGAAATGATTCCTGTAGCCAAGCAAATTAATAAGTCCATCACCTCACATAGGTTACCCTTTTTATCTTGTGGTAAGAACACCTAAAATCTACTTTCAGCAAATTTTTATTATATAATAAAATATTAATGATTATCATCCTCACAGTGTACATTACATGTCTAAACTTATTCATCCTACATAACGGCAGCTTTGTTTCCTTTGACCTACATCTCCTTATCTATCTCCCACCCTGAACCCCTGATACCCATCATTCTACTCTTTGTTTCTATATATTCAACTTTTGAAACAAGATTCCACATATAAATAACATTGTGTAATATCTGTTCTTCTGTATCTGGCTTAGTTCACTTAAAGATTCAACTATGTATAACCATGTCCTTCAATTTCAGTTGAGAACTCCCGCTTTCACCTCACTAGAAAATTAAGACCATTCAACATCAACTTCTCTACCTTTTATCTCAAACATGTATTATATCTGTTTATCTTCTTCCTTTTTTGTTTTCTTAGGAAAACTGGTACATTTTTTATAGGTCTTATTCTTTTCACCATGACTCTATGGGAACTTGTTCCATTAATTTACTCCAACTTCTTTGGTATGTTTCAACTCTCTCCTTAGTGGCCTCTTTCTTGTAAGCTACAAGTCTTCCTTACCCTAAAAATACCTTCCCGTGGTTCTGACTATCCCTGTATACCTAGTCACAATCTTATAGTTCTCCTTGTCTCCTTTTCTAAATTTCTCAGAAGGGCAGTATACGTAAGTTGCTTTCAATTCCTCACAAATTACTTACTTCTTAACAATTTGGAGTGTATCTCAATCATCTGTGTAGCATTTCACTGTTGACTTTCAGTTTCTTCCTCTAGCAATGCAGGGTATCAAGGAGAAGGGACGGACTCTGTACTCTCTTCTTCTCGATACTGTGTTTTTTTGTTTTGTTTTGTTTTGTTTTTTTCTATGTCCTTTCACTATACCAGTCCCTGTAAACGAAAGGATACTTGAATTTTGTTTTGTACAATTTCTTTTCTCACTTGATACTCTTTCCCTAGAGACGTTCACTTACTCCTTTGAGGGGAGAAATTACCTTTAAAAACTATACTCATGATTATTTCTTGAGTATCACATTTAATTTAAAACATCTTCTGGACACCTTCAAATTTATCATGTACGAGATTTTACTCAGTGTTTCATTTCTAATTTCAGCCTGGTTTCATATCTTGATTTATAACATGGCTAACTTTTCAGTCACTCAGGAATAATATATTAATTCATTTCCCCAATTTTTCACATTTCTCACATTTTAATGAGACGTTTGTCTTTCTATTGCCTAAGATGCCCAGGACCACTTCCCTACTTGAGATCATCATAATGTCTGTCTTAGGCTACTGTAATAACATCACATAACAACTTCCTTTACTAGGTTACCTGAGTTACTGTCATAAAGTTATAGAATCCAAGAAATTTTACAATCCATTTTTCTTTCAAATCTCTAATATATTTGCTTCTAGTGAATTATGTCACAGTGCATGTCTGACATGCACAGTCATCCATGATCTGATGACTCTGCAATTGTAACTTGTATTGTATGCTCTCTGAATATCCCCAAACTTGGTATATTGCTCTTTCAGTTCCTGTGTTTTCTTCAGCCAAAATACCTATCCCCATTTAATCATCTCTCAATATTCTACTCATTCTCTAAGGCTCAACTAGAAGAGCAGTTCCTTAATGGCAAGCTCCCCTGCCACACTCAGCACAGAGGCCTTACTTTTCCAATTCAGGCATAATTAAATTCTACATATTTCCACCAAATGCTACATTGATAGATAAATTTTATTTTAAAAATCAGGGGGTTAAAACATGGGCTCTGGGACTCACATGTGATCAACCAGAATCACATGTAGTCAGACAACCTGGGTCCAAATGATATCTTTGCCATTAACAATATAGTTTTGAGCAAGTTACTTAATCTTTTGGCATCTCTGTTTTCTCAACCTAAGTATGGAGAGGAGAGCTACCTCAAGATGTTCTTGTGAAGATTATACAAGATAACGTCTTTGCTTAGTGCTTGGCAAAGGGTTAGAACTAAGTAAAAAATAACCATCATTAATATTATCATAATTATGCTTGACATGAAAAGAGATAATCAATATTAAAAGGTAAATAAAACTCTGTGATACTTTGCAAAATTTTTATTACAGATTTACTGAAGATTTTGCCTTTACTAGCCACCCAGATTCCTTCTTTGAGTTGTTTCATTACAGAGGAAAGTTTATTTATCTTGTGTATAAAATATTTGTTTTAACTAAATAATTTATATATTTTTTCCAAATCAAGTGGCCCTGGGAGAAAAACAGTTTGCCTCAAATAACAGTTTGCCATCACGGACTTGTTATCTTGTCAGTTTTTCATTTCAACATAAAGCACTGACAACTGCTCAGGTTCACATGAAACTGTGGCCTTTGTGAAGCCCTGTGTATCTCTAGCGTTCACACACAATTTTCCCACAACTGAAATCTCAAGGCCCCACTAAGCCCTAAAGAGATCTAATTATGTCCATAATAACTTGGGGACAGGGCCAGAGGGTCACTGTCCTCCAGTCATTGTCTGTTGTTATTGAACAGTTGCATTTCCTGGACAGGTTTCCTTTATCAACTTGTGAATTGTTCCCTTGTTACAATGATCCCCAGAATTTGTGGGGACATATAATAGGCAGAAATCATTTTCTAATCATGTGGACTTCTTAGAATTAAAGCTCACTGTTGATCTTATTTCAAACCACAAAATTAGCATGTCGTTAAATATTGTATATAAACAGCCACAGAAGCTGATAGACCATCATCTGTCCAGCACTACCTTCACTTCTCTTCAATCTTGGAAAAACGGTAAGAATTTTAGATACGGATTTGTTGTATCTTCTCCTAACCACGTATTTCAAAGTAGCTTGAGCTATAGAAAAAACATAGTTGCTTAAAATATAGTGTTTGAAATAAAAGTATTTAAGGTAGTACTGAAATTATTTTTAACACTTAGGCTAAAAAAGATAGAAGTGCCCAGAAGAATTTGGTAAAAAAATTGCAATGATGTATAGCCTTCACGAGTTTAAGAAAATGTAATAACTAATTTTATGCATATGTATATTTAGTATGAGGCTAGTTCATCGTTAATATTAAAAGGAGATTCATTTTTGAATTAATCTTCCAATTTGATTTAGCATATCACAGCCATAAAAAGAAATATACTTAGATTACAGTGTGGGTAGATAAATAATTACTGGAAAAGCTTTATCCAATAGGTAGTTTACAGCAGTAGCATACTGAGTCAAGAAATAGAGGGAATGGTTTGGGGGCATTTACTACTTTAAATATTTATAAACAATGTTTTCAGAAGAGTTTACTCATCAAACTTGTCTAGAGCCTCAAATTTCCCAGTTTATTATCTACTTTGTAATATTTCAGAACAATATTAAAATGAGACAGAAATACAGAATTAAGTTAAAAAGAAACAATGTGATTTACTTTGTAAGAAAATTCTTAATGGGGTAGAGAAGACTTGGAAACCATAAACAAAGATAATAGATGATATAAAAGAAAATAGCTTAGAGCGTACCAGTCGATAAAGAAACTCTGACTTAAAAATTAGTATATAGTATATTTATAGTATATAAATTAGTATAAAAATTAGTATAATTGGTATTAGTATATATTAGTATATTTGTATATAAAATTAGTATAGTAATTATATATTAGCATATAAAATTAGTATATATTAGTAGATTAGTAATAAAATTAGTAAAGTTTATAAGTAGATTACTTATAAAATATAGAAAATGCTGTGGGATCCTCCCTAAGTGCAATTATATACAAAATAGAGTGCTATATTCTTTTTCTGAACCCCGACATAAAAAATTTGGAAACTTATGGAGGTCTTAGGCAAAGCAAAATTAATAAAAAATATTTAACATTCATAAAAAATCTAGAAAAAAATTTATTTTCCATAATAGAGAGAATTATGTTCAACTTTCAAATATTGAAAAGAACATTTTTCAAATAAATTAGAGACTTTTTTCATGAAGTATTTTTAGTTCAAAAATTGAGTTTCAAAATCTGAAAATGAAGATTTGAGTGTCAAGTAATATTGTGGCATAAACATTATTTTGGAATTAAAAAAATGTAAGAACACATAACAAGGAGATGATTTCGTATATTTTGGTCATAAATGTTAACATATATTTCACAAGAAGAGGTAGTCCCAAGCTGGACAGTGGGCAAGAGGTCCTGACTCCTTGGCAGATCATCAAGAGACCTTTGTGTACATTTTAATACAGAGAAGAGAAGAAGCCTAGTGTATAATCTCTAAAGTCATAGGGCATAAAGGAGAACAGATATTATTAGCTATGTGGGGAAGATGGATATAAACAGAGAAGAAACAAACTTTATAGTCCAACAATTCTCTGGATAGTGACACAAATAAGGAAAGTGTTAAAATGAAAATCTCAGTCTTATTGGAAATGAGGAGAAATAATTAAACTAAAATATTCATGGTAACCATTTAGTGAAAAAAAAAGATAAAAATAAAATGTGACTTTTTTGTACACATTTTCTTGATTAGTCTCTTCCAGTAGAACTGAGGCTCCATCAGGGAGTAATATCAGGACTGTAATATTTTGCTCATTGCTGCAGTCCTGGTCCCTAGACAGTGTCTGGCAAGAACAGATTCTAAGGAAATATTTTTAAATTAATGAATAAATCTTTCCATATATATTTATAACTTCTTTATGCCTTTTGAAAAATTCAATACTGCAAATGGGACGTTTTTAAAAGTGGGGATGAGTTGTTAGCTGAAATATCTGAATAGTTGGCAATGAAGTTTGGAATTTGATAAATGAGAATAGCAAGCCAGAATAGATTTTGACCTGAGTCATATGATATAACTTCTATTTAGTATTTATTCTATTTATTTTCTAAAATGTAGACATTTTTGTCATACAGTATCTCTCTTTTTTATAAAAAGTAACCTTACCTAACTAAATAAGAAAATATATCCAATTGACCAATCTATCACTATTCCATTTTTTCTCCATTCACAGGACTTAGTAGCCATGAAGGTCATCATTCTTTCCTGCCTGGTGGCTCTTGCTCTTGCAAGGGAGGTATGTGCACAAGAAAAAATTCATAAAAATCAAGAAATAGTGGACTATATGCCTATTTGTAGAGAATAACATCACCAACATTTTTTACTGTATAATAAAGAAGAATTTCATGAAAATTATCTTGACTTCTATCAAAATCATTTATATTTACCCACTGTCTCAACAGTTTCCTATAGTGCTCCAAATGCTTCCGACACCAATGTGCTGCTAGTCACTAAAGAAAAAGCAAACAAATCAATAAGTAATAAAAAATCATAAAAATGGCAACAAATATATGCATAAATAACTCCACAGATGCTCAACCTAGATAAACATATCTTATTCCAGTCATAAAATGTATATATATCTTATAGCCTAGGGCACTGGGTCCAAGTCTGTCTATACAAAGGCATCCATAGGATGAAGTACAGACACAATCATAATCCTAATCATACATTCATAATAATATAGTAAAAATATTTAATACAAATTAAAGTGACTCAACCATCAAAAACTGTCTTTAATAAATGTAAGATAAAAGTATATTAATAAAAATTACTAAATGTAAAAGACATTAAAGCAATTACCTTTCAAGCCTCAAAAGTCATATAACATTTTTAATTTGTCACATTTGTGAAAGAGATAGATCTGCATAAATGATGTAAAAATTAAGTAGGATACATGTTTAACAATGTGTTAGCTGTAGAAACTGAATTTTTAAACATCTTTTCAGAAGGAACAATCCAGTGCATCCTTTGAGGTAAGATTTTTTTTGTTTAGAGAAAATTTATGAACCATAAAATAGTAAAATTCTCTAATGATCTAGAAGATGTAGCTGGTTGTCATTTTTTTTTTTTTTTTTCCACAGACTGTAGAAAATCTTTCAAGCAGTGAGGTAAGTTAACATTCTGCCCAATTTTAGAAGAGTAAAATCCTGTGCTATTTTTCTATGGTGTTACATCATGGCAGTTAAGCTAATGCCACTATGTCAATGACATATAAGTTCTAGTATACATTTCCTTTATATATGTTTAAGGACAATAAGTATCTGGAAAATACAACGTTCTGGAACTTTCTAAATTGGCTTGCTACTTGAAATTGTGTTATGTTGCTTCCTCTTTTTTTTTTTTTTTCTTTTTTAATGAACCATACAGTCCTGTTTTCTGCCTTGAACTCTCTTTACTCTGAACTCATTCACTTTGAGCATATATTGAGGGTCTTCTATGGGTCAGACATCGACTAGGAGCTGTGGTACAAACTGAAAGATAGAGATGCGAGTGATAGTTAAGAGCTTGCTAAGCAGTAGGTAAGCAGATATGAAAAAGGTCACATTTTATAATTACAATTGCCACTTTAGCAAATAAGTGAGATTTAATGTAGTCCTAAATCTACCTGAGAGAGTCAGGTAGATATTTATTCTTACATCTCTCTTCTTGGGTGTGTGATCACTTGATAAGTAAATGGTACCTCAATAGACTCTGTTTCTTCAGGAAGGTTATATGATCCTTAAGGGAAATGTTTAACTCTTCTGATTCATTTGAAGTGATCATAATGTATCAATTGTTATTAGAATATATTTTCAAAGAGTATTTCCTTTTTTAAAAAACCAGATGGGGTTTTAGAGATCATTTGTTGTCAGGGGATGAGCATGGTGGTAGAGAGAAATTAGCATATATTAATTGCTTTTTTTGTGCCATGTCCTTCTTGACTGCATTCATCTGACTTTCTTTTATACAACAAGCTTATATAGAACAATTTAATATATAAACTTTAATGATTATACAAAGTTATTAATGATATTATCAAACAATTAATGCCTTTATTTCCTGATTTATATTGCAAAGTAAGAATTGTTAAAACTAAATCTAATTTTATTTTATATTTTTCCATAGGAATCTATTACACAATACAAGGTAAATTTTCACATTTAAAATGTACATATTTTCAAAATTTCCTCTAATTTTTACAGATGGTAACATATTTTTATATATGATTTATTTTTAGCAGACAGTTGAGAAGGTTAAACATGAGGACCAGCAGCAAAGAGAGGTAATTTGTTAACGATAAGTATATTTCTAAAATTATCATAAAGTATAATACATAAAAAATATTTATAATGTATATGTTGATTCTAAAGAATGGTAATAAAATAAATGCCATATACCCACGAACCACTGTAAAAAAATTAAACATTGATAAAGTCAATATATTTTCTAGGATATGCATGCATTTTTAAACTCATAATTAATTTCTGGAATATAGACTAAATACATAATGATATTACTAATGGTATATCTGTTTTCAACAAGCGCACATTGGTGGGAACATTTCCAGGTTGGGAACTATGATCCTCTTATTTTCAAGGTGGATATGGTAATGAAAAGGAGTATACAGCTGGTAAAAAATAAACTATGTAGAATTTGTGCCATACTGCCTTCATTCCCGTATGGACAACACAAAATCCTGTATTTCATTAAATTACATTTATGGTGATATGTTTACCTAATCATAATTTTCAGTTGCTTTGTGTATCAATGAATTGTTTGGTATCACATAAAATATTTTTAAAATCAATTTTAAACAAAAAAATCAATGTTTCTTGAAAGACTCAAGAGACTATCTTCTCCCAAGGGAAGGAACGCAAGAATTTGGCTGGTGTTAAATCACTTCCTGAGATAAGCCACAAATTAAGACTGATTTTCTTTTTCATCAAACCAAACCAAAACAAAAATGAACCTTGGAATTGTCCCTCTAAGTCTTTTTAAACTGACCTCTTTTCACTGTGTGAAAACAATTTGGTCTATTATTGGCACAACTGTGTTGAAAAGTAAATTCTCTCTGAAGACCAAAGTGTACAGTTACAGCTATACAGGCAATTCAGGAAAAGGTTAAAAGAATGTTTCTGAAATATCCAAACATTGATTTCACTTTGGCCTGTGTAGTTACCCATGAAGTGAGTGGATTAAAATCTTTCAACAAACATTTTACTCATTTTTCCTCACATAACTCAAGATAATTTCTTAACAAAATAAGTGAAATATTTTCTTCCTCTCTTTCTACTCATTTATCATTGCCTAAAAGAGAGAAATGAATTCATTATGAATGGCAATTATAGCTGAATCAAGGACTCAAAGATTCTTTTTCCTTCTTTCCAGGATGAACGCCAGGATAAAATCGATCCCTCTTTCCAGCCACAGCCTCTGATCTATCCATTCGTTGAGCCTATCCCCTATGGTTTTCTTCCACAAAACATTCTGCCTCTTGCTCAGCCTGCTGTGGTGCTGCCTGTCCCTCAGCCTGAAATAATGGAAGTCCCTAAAGCTAAAGACACTATTTACACTAAAGGCAGAGTGATGCCCATCCATAAATCTCCAATGATGCCCTTTTTTGAGCCTCAAATCCCAAAACTCACTGATCTTGAAAATCTGCATCTTCCTCTGCCTCTGCTCCAGCCCTTGATGCACCAGGTCCCTCAGCCTATTCCTCAGACTCTTGCGCTTCCCCCTCAGCCCCTGTGGTCTGTTCCTCAGCCCAAAGTCCTGCCTATCCCCCAGCAAGTGGTGCCCTACCCTCAGAGAGCTGTGCCTGTTCAAGCCCTTCTGCTCAGCCAAGAACTTCTACTTGATCCCACCCGCCAGATCTACCCTGTGACTCAGCCACTTGCCCCAGTTCATAACCCCATTAGGGTAAGTACAAATTTACTGACTTTGCTGTTTCATTCAAGATGTGTATGGGATGGTAGAATAAAAGAATAAATGTAGAGTAAATGAAAATAATAAAGCAGTTTAGATAAGTGATTCTTAATGCTTACCTATACAATAGAATCATCTGGAGAACTTTTCCCCACAAATCCCAATGCCTATGCCTACCCAGAGATTCTAATATAATTGTTCTCGTTCTTTGTGTAGAGGAAACTGAGTGCTGAGAAAAAAGCTATTGCATGAATTCTGATTTAATTAGTCTGTTGAGAATTCTGATTTAGATAAAGTAATTAAGGCTTACAAAAGCCAGAATTAAATTAATAGTATGCTTGAATTTGGAATAAAAGAGCTAAAAAATGTTCCATCATTTTCCTTGTGCACATCTATTTTACACAAGCCTTAGTTCACATCTTGTTTTTGCTGTAAGTATATATGAAGGCAAAAGATTGAGATGCTTATTTCACTACTTATGACATTCTTAAGGCAAGTTTTCCTACTAAGAGGCTAATTATTTATTTATTTGTATTTGTTTATTTTTAAGGTCTAAGAGGATTTCAAAATTAATTTTCCCTCCTCATTTTTGGTAAGTTTTGGGAGTTTGGAGATAAAATTGATCATTTTTATACATGATGTCTTTCCACATTTAATTCTAGAGAAGACCAATATAGTGAAAATTTCATACATATAAGAACTTTTTTTATTAATTATCAACTCAATGGTTGACTATCATTTACTGACCTGAAACTATCTATCTTTTGCATTTCAAATAACTTTAATTTTATTTATGTACTATTGACAGATTTGACTGACTTGCTTTCAAGGGCCCATATACTTACCTTTGATTATCACTATTTTTAGGAAAAACAGAATATCTTTTTTATTTTACTTTTATGGAAATACATTTGAGCCTTTGTCAAAAGCCTGTTTGCATTTTTATTTCCAACCTACCCTTCATAAAATTTGTATTTACTTTACTTAAAATTATCTTTTAATTCATGAGTTCAAATTACTCCAAATGTAAACGTTAAAAAGAGGAGAGAATAGTATTGCAATTCTAAGATGTAAAGCCTTTTGTGATTATGAAAGACTAGACATTTCACCGAAGCAATTTCAAGTTCGCTAATATTTGGTTATATGCAAACTTTATATGCTTCCAAGCCACAACAGAATGCGTTTGCAATACAATTTATTGTGTGAATTAGTCACACCAAAGTTAGAAGTGAAGAGAGGTGAATATTTACATGTTATAACATAACTAATTGTATATTTGCTCTCTATTCCACAGAATTGATTGAGACTGGAAATATGATGCCTTTTTCACCTTTGTATCATGTTATCCCTAATTAAGTATGTTTGAATGAGTTTATATGGAAAAAAACTTTATTCCTTTATTTATTTTATATATTATATGTCATTCATTTAATTTGAAATTTGACTCATGAACTATTTACATTTTCCAAATTTTAATTCAACTAGTACCACAGAAGTTCAATATTCATTCGGAAATGCTACAAACATATCAAACATATATATACAAATTGTTTCTGGAATTGTGCTTATTATTATTTCTTGAAGAATCTATTTCCTTTCCAGTCATTTCAATAAATTATCCTTAAGCATATTTAAGTTGTTCTTTTTTTCAAACCTAATCGACCTCATTAAAGTTACCTTTGATTTATTATTGATGTTCAAAATAATCCTGGAAGAATGCATCGAAATTGAATAGAATGTTTTGAGTTGAATATTAAAAGATATCAAACAGTGGAGGAAAAGAAAGGATGCTTTTATACTCCACTTGCTATAGAAAGTTTTGGTTTATGCCTATTTTCCCAGTGTCATTATTATAGCTACACCTTTCACTTTCAAAATGATCCAGCATTGGATGCTAAATTTTGTGGTGACCCGGGGAAAAAGTTTTAAATGTGAAACCTGAAGCACAACTTGCCACAGGGTAGCTACGTGATGCTGTAAGAGCTTTAATTCCCACATGGATAAAATATTGCAAAGAATTTTACTGAAGGTTTGATCACATATTAGTAACATGATTAGTGTACTGTATAGTACGTGATAGATGATCCCTATTGCTCCACATTGCTGACATTGCTTACACCACAGCACCAAAGCATTCTAACAAATCAAAATGAACTGGGTTAATATGGTGAAACTCTGACAGCCATTAATTCTAACTGTGAAGTAGTTGTTTATTGTGATTAATTTTCTCTCTTTCTATACCAACTCCTCCACTTGTACATTCAATTATATCTTCCTGAGTTTATGTAGTGACTCATGTCTAGCAATTATCCCATCTTTCTTATATTTCCAGTATTTCCCTGTCCCTTGTTATAGCATAAGCATCATGGAAGACCTTATACTATAGTATCTCCCATCATTAAAGAACAAACTTGCATCCTTAACACTACCTCCAAACCTCTCCCAATTATTTGGATTACTTTATATCAGTTGTCATGCAAAAGTATCCATTGGGCTGTTTCCATATCTCATATCTTATTCTATTACTAACCCACTCCAATCAAATTTTTGTCCCCCACTGAAACCACTTCTTTTCCAGGTTATCAATAATTTTCATATTGCTAATTTGTGTTCAGTTTACCCAGCCTCTCAGTGTTATTTGGTAGAATTTGTCATCTTTACTTCCTTGAAACATCATTCTTCTCTTCATTGGAAATCCTTAACCTAATAAACCCTTGGTTTCTTCTTTTATTCAAGAGACACTTCTCAGTCTCCCTTCTTCTATTTTCTCCTTTTCCAAATCCTTAAGGGTTGGAGTACCCTAGAGATTAGCCTTACCCTGGCTGATCCTGTTCAGTTCCCTGGCTTTAAGTACATTCTTATGCTAATAGCTTCCAAATCTCTATCTCCAAACGTCTTTGTTTTGTAACTCAAAACTTATGCACTCAACTGCCTTCTTGATCTCCACATCTAAGTATCTAATTAAAATCTCATACCTGGCATGACCTAGCATAGCTCTTAATCTGAATCCAGTCCCCAACATGACCTTTAATCAATCTTCTCCACATCAATACATAGCTCTACACTCTCCTCTGTCGTCAAAACTAAAAGCTTAACAGTCACTATTGATTTATTCTTTTATCTTTGTTCTAGGTTGGATAGTGCCCCACAAAATGCCATGTCTTTCTGGAAGCTCATTATTTGGAAATAGGTTAGCTTCAAATATAATTAGTTAAGATGAGGTCATACTGGAGTGATATGGGCCCTTAATCCTGTATAACTGTTACTCTTATAAGAAGAGACACAGACAGAAACAGGGGAGAATGTAATGTGACAACAGAAGCACAGATCAGAGTGATGCATCTACAGATCAATAAATACCCAAGATTTCTGGCAGCACCAGAAGTTAAAAGAAAGGCATGAGACTGATTGTTCACTAGATTATTCAGAGATCATGGACCTATCAACACTTTATTTTGAACTTCTAGCTTCCAGAATTGTAAGAAAACAAATAGCAGTTGTTTTAAGCCACTTGGCTTATGATATTTTATTAAAGCAGCACTAGGAAATTAATACACATTTCACATCCATTTATTAATGAGTATAGAAATTTCAACCTAGGAAATATACGTTGAATTTCTCCAATGCTCGGTAGCTCCACTATTAATAGTTTATATTGATTCATCATCATAATCTCTTACTGAAATACTATAATGGCCTCCAAAATGACTTCCCAGTTGTCCCTTCTGCAGGTGTTTCTCACTAAGCAACCAGAATTATCTTTTATGAGCGTAGGTTTTCTCAAATCTATGTAGTATGTCATACAAAATAAAAAGATGAAATCAGTCATTCATTCAAAACCTTTTTTGGGGGGAGGATGTTCTTTTCAGAAAATATAGACTAGATTATTTAAACCAGTTTTATGGTGAACAAAACTAGAAAATACAGATTAAATACTTGAAAAATGTCTTTTGAAAACACTAGGGAGCTAGCAAGTTAAAAAGCATTTGTAAGACTGGGAAGAAACTATGCCCTAAAGACAAGTCCACCATGGGTGCCTTTGTTAAATGCTAGGCATTTTTCAATAACAAGAGCACAAACTAAGAGCCTGAGAAGCTGACCCACAGACTCAGGATATGAAAATTGGGCTTGAGACCTGTCAAGGATGACGGATACTAGAAAACTTCCCAAGATATTTGTTGAGTTGATGAAAAAATATACTTCACCAGTAAAACTGAACTGAGAATAGACAAACCTCACTGAAACTCAGCTTTGAATAATATCAATCCCTGACCGGGTAAACTGAGTAGATTAAGCTGCCAACCGGATACGCCTATGGAGAAATTAAGTGTTGATGCCTTCATCATAGGATACACAAAAATCAACGCAAGATGGACAACAGATCTAAGTGTGAATGGTGAAACAATAAAACTTCCAAGAGATAACAGAAAATATCTTTACTATTTTGGATTCAGAAAATATTTATTAACAATAACAAAGAGCACAGTAATACCATAAATTATTGAAAATTTGACTTCATTAAAGAAGTGATCATCACAGGAAACCATTCAGAGAATTAAAAGGCAAGCCAGAGTTAAGGGTATATTAGCAAAAACTATAACTGCTTGTTTCTAAAATATATAAAGAACTTCAAGTCAGTAAGAAAGACAACCAATAAAATAATCTGTAGGTTCATACGACAGTATGAGCTAGTCATGCAGCCATATTCTAGCTACATGACCAGTCTTATATTTTAATGAATGTAAAATATACATCTGCATACCATGTGACTAGTGGTTCTACTTTTTTCAGGTATATAATGAGAAAGACAAAGTTTATTCAATGACATTTATTAAAGCATGGTAAGGAAGACTTTCTTCATAACTATTGAGATAGGTACAGGGATCACTACAATGAGATTTTACATTAGGAAAGACAAATTGGGCTCAACTCCAAATACAGCATGCGCAAATAGGAATTTATAGCCAAGAAGCAGAGTGATGGTCAGTGAATGAAAAATTGCTAAGAGGAAACAACAGAGGTCATGGGGATTCTGGTTAGGCTGACTTAACAGGATTCTTGCTGAGAACAGGCCCATATGACATTACCTGGGAAATTGTGGGGGATGAGAAACCACATCAGATATTGAAGAGAATCACATATCAAGCATGGAGGATTATTGCTAAGCAGACTCAGCAAAGTTCTTTGCTTAAACTAGATTTTACAAGGAAGTACACAGATGGGCCTAGAAGTTTTAGGAGCCTGAGTAATGTTGGGTCAAGTAAAAAAATCCTTGTCAGTGCTGGCTTCATCTACAATTCTCAATCTACCACTGGAGGTCGTTCAAATCACCTCAGTGCCAGGAAGCTCAACACTGCTTTTGATCAGGGTTTCTTGTAATGAGTTAGTCATGCAAGCATATTCTAGATGCATGAATAACATAAACCACGGAAAACCACACTCACTGGATCACTTGAACTTAGGCGTTTGAGACTAGCTTGGGCAACATGCTGAGACCCTGTATCTACAAAACCTACAAATATTAGCCAGGTATGGTGGCACACATCTATAGTCCCAGCTACTTGGGAGACTGAGGTGGGAACGTCGCTGGAGTCTGGGGAGCGAATGTTGTGGTCAGTCAAGATCACATCACTGCACTTCAGCCTGGGCGACAAAGAACTTCTCTCAAAAAAGAGAGAGAGAGAAAAAAAAAAAGGTGGGGGAGGGGCGGGACTGTGTGCACACACACACAGAGGAAAGATGGCCTCAGAAGATCGAGGCAGAGGTTGGATGATGCAGCTACAAAATACAGCTACAAGTTTAAGGATGCCGATGACTGCTAGCAACTACCAGAAGAAGGGCTCTTCCCTAAAGCCTTCAAAGGGAGCATGATCTTGTCAACACACTGATTTTAGGCTTCTACCTTCCCAAACTGTGAGAGAATGAATTTATGCTTTTTTCTTGAACAGTTAGTTTATGGCACTTTGTTACAGCAGTCCTTGGAAACTAATAAAAGAAGGCATCAAGATTTTGGTTAGATTTTGTTAAAAAACTGGTTGAAATCTTGGCTCAAATTATTTAACAAATGAAGAACCAGAAAATCTTAGCTTTACTGAAATTATTGGAAGCAACTTTTGCAAATGGGAAGACATTGAAATATATTCTTCAAGAGAGAAATTTTTAAAATAATAAAAGCTCAAATAATGTACCAAATTTAATATGAAATTTTACAATTTCAATTTGGTGTATTTTAACATGAAGAATAAAGAGTTTAATGATTCTCAGCTAAATAAGTAAGCCTATAATTCAGGCCCGGGGTTATCATGCAACCACAGTCCCTTATCCAAAGGAAGAGGCCCTTCCTACCAGCAGAACCAACTAGCATTGCTCTACTGATGTATGAACACTCAGAGAAGCTGCAATGTGATCACTTCCATTGGGTTTACGTTCTGAATAACTGTCAGGTCTCAAGATCTGGGCAAGCCATCTTTTCAATCACATGAACATAGCCTGCAAATTAAGTCAGTACGGAAAAGAATAATAATGAGAGATGGACAAAAGAGTTAATGCCCACCTTCAAGCTCTTAAATACAACTGTATTTCACTCTTGTAATTTGTTATGACATAATTTTAAAAATTCCTTTCTTGTTT